ATTGGAATCAGTTTCGGTTCTTTATGTTCCACACAAACACACTACAAAGAAATATAATTTAAAAGAGAACGAAAGTCGTTCAGATTTTTCGAAATTCTTTATGAGAGCAACACCGCGCCTTTATGAAATGTTCGAGAAATGGATTTTCAAAAAGTAAAATCCGTAAAAGTTGAATTTTTGAAAGTGAAATTTGAATTTTACTTTACATAAATCAGACCCTAATTTTAATAAATATTAATTTATTTCAATTTTGTGTTAACAAGGTAAACAAATAAATCTTAAAAATCTTAGCATAACCGAATTTTCATTAAAAATTTCATACGGCCTAAGCATTTAACTAATTAATAAGGAAAAAGGAAAAAAAACGCTCAAAATTTATGTCCATTGTTGCGACTCAGGGATATAGTTTGAACCACATTCAAAAATTAGAGAAAATGTTAGGATATAGATTTTTTTTTATTTCCTTTTATTTTATAACTTTAGTCAATATTGTAAAAATATAATAATTGAGGCTTCTCCATTTGTAAAAATACTTTTGAGACACAAGATACACTGTATACATATATACACACTTACACACATATCAAAAATCAGAAAAACTAAATCAATTTTGTTGTCAATCAATGAAACCCCGAAATGGACAGTTCAATAAAAAAAAACATAACATTTTTGAAATTTTTTTGACGCTATCGATCAAACCATCGCAAAATTCAAAAAAACGCCGCACATTTGCATTTGCCCTTTCTTCTATCATTTGTGGGGAACCTTGTGTACATATATATATTGCATGCATATTTTTCGTGTAACGTTAATTTAATACAAACGCACTGTGTAGGTTTTAATCTCGCCTAGTAAAAATGCCGAGCGCTTTGTTTACACTATACCTGTCCGTAAGGTGTTTCCGATATTTATCGGGCCCGTCACATAAATCCGAACGAATTGTTATTGTTAAAAGCTTAGTTACGACTTCCGTGTGTTCTAGTGTGTGCCCGTAAGCTTACGAAACGCGCGGCGGCCGTCGATATCAGATTAGTACCGATCGGGTACTGCCACGTTAAATGTCTTTGTCTCCGCGTTCGGACATTTTAAAGTCAACCGTGACTCAACGCTTTAAGAAAAAAAAAAGTGTATATCATTTATTCGTCGGTACGACACTAGTTTTAGTGTCGACAGAACTACCCTGAGGCAATCAAAGGGGGACGGACGCTCCAGACATACCGGTAATTTATGTGCCTTTTCCGTTTGAAATATATCTTATTTTATCAAGTGCGGGTAGTACCACCAACAATGCTGTCTATTGTCATTGTTAACCGCTCATAAATACTGACCAACAGGTACAGTGGACTTGAACCTAGAGAAGAGAAGGTAAACCCATAGACATTTATTCTGTACAACAACAACATAATGTGACAAATGTGAGACTAAGTATATAAAAAAATGTGTATTAATAAAAAATGTAATTCTTCATCATCTGAGCAGGAGTCTTATCCATCGTTTCGTACCGCACACATTTTAAGTTCATCGGAAACATTTAAAAGCGACTGGTCAAAACAGTCCTGGGGGCGTATTCCTTGCGCATAGAATACGGATTTTTAAAGCCTCAGGCGGTCACAATGCGATCTTCCTTCTGGTCAGTTGACAACAACGTATAAACCCTAAATTCGATCGACCTACCTGATCGTGAAAAGAGTACCATTTCTATGGGCGTCAAGTGTAGCTCGATTCCTACATCTTTTATAATGCTACTATTACCCCTTTGAAGCCTGGATGATTACCTGGTACCGCCTCATTACATTTCCAAGTACAATAGCTCGTTCCCAATCAGGATCAGATAGTACCATCCTCGGATGCATTAGAAAACGATATCTTTAAGCAGGAAATTCTACTACATGAATGCAACTAGAAACGGATGGAGTTTGTTTAAACCGCCTCCGGGTCGTACCAGCCGATTAGAGGAACCCGCCGCCGAACTCCCGCGTTCGTCAAAGTTCGGCGGTACGATTTCGCGCAAAGTACTTCCGCGTGAACGCGGTATACGGCCGATGGTACCTCGGCGATGACCCCAGCTTCTTTTGGCCTCGTTAGCTATAGACAAAAACGGATGTTACAGTTATTTACGGGGTCGTGCCGCGGATTAAACGTCGCGCAGGAGCGACCGAAAGGTTCGGTCCTGATACCTGGACAACCGTCGAACCGATAAACTCTCCGAATGTGCCTTTATTTTATGTTTTCGTCAACCTATCGATGTAAGGGACACTAAGACCGTAGTGATTAGCTATTTGTTGGGACAACCGAACTAAATGCCAGTTCACCAAAATTATTAACAACAAAATTATTATTTTTTTTAATTGTAAATGTGAAATTAACCTTTTGTTACTATTTAATTAGTTGTTGGCATTACCATAAAGGGAAAATTTAACAGAACTGATGACTATGGTAAAAGTTTGAATAGAGAAACTGCGAAAAATGATTCTCGAGAATGCTGTCTTCAATATATCCACAAGAGCGGTCTTAGGTTTTATAAGGTATACTTCGACCAGAATTATAGTGCTATCACAACCGACCCCGTGATTAACTTTGTCTGCTGTATATTCCTAGAAATCCGCAGTTTCAATCTTTTTCGCCGAGCAGTTCTTCAAACATTACATAGAAAAATTAGTACAAAGTAACAATTTATTACGTTTACGTTACTACAAGTTTTTACTACAAGTTATTACAAGTTTTTTAGCATCCGAAGACAAATGGATCCGTTTTTTATTTGCTGAGGTAGTTCGTCTTCTAAATTCTCATTAGGTTAGGCTACCATCTCCACTTCGGCTTCAAATTCTGCGTTGTTTTCCATGTCTTCTTCTAACAGAGGATGATATTAAAATAAACGCCTCTGCTTATTCAATCAAATTTAAAACCGTCCATTTACGTTTCAAATATATATTTTTTTAATTTTCTAGACATTTTCGTTACGGTCCATCCCACCTACATACTTAATGTCAAATAAACATCTATAGGGATGGGTTTTACCACGGTCCTGCGAAGGTTTGCGGTTAACGTACCGTTGTGAAATCCTTAAAACGCCAAAGCAATAAAGGCACTATATAGTTTGTTGTCTCGAACACGGCGGTATGGTCTGTTCATACATATAAGAAAGTGACCACTTGCTTTTGAATGGGATTATCCAAGGGTGGTCATTAACATACAATGCAACAAGATTATTTTTCAATCCAGGTAAAATTGTGGTCCGTGTGTCTGTGTTTAATATTCTTTGTTTTGGTATACTACTTAGTTTAAGTTTATTAGTAATCATTCTTATTTCGTGTGTAATACAACGTGTGTTGAACCGTGTGCGAATTATGCAAAATATGTGCGAGTCTAGTGTATCTCAGGAGAGGCTTCCGCCCAAATGTAGAAAACACTATTCTATTGAGACTAAGGAAGTTATAAACAATGTTTATTTGACCCTCATTGAACGTGGTGCGCAAGCAAGCATCTTCAGAAGAAGAAAAAGAAGCGATGCTGACATTTTCTCGAGTGTAGGTGATATATACGAGGAACAATGCGTGCCTACATTAGATATCTTAATTAGGAGGCTTGAAAAAGATGAAACCTGAGTTTAGATTTTAAAAAAATTGACAAAAGGCAAGTTTTAATGGAATCATTTAGAATTCGGAAATGGCGACTGGAATATCTAGAAAAAATTAGGATTTACAGACAACAACAAAGGCCAATTATTTACTTGGATGAAACCTGGTTCGACACTTATGATACCCCGGAAAAGGGTTGGGTTGACTCAACTGATAAGTGTAAAACAAACGCGCCATCAAAAAGGGGTAAAAGAATAACTATTTTGCATGCTGGCTCTAAAGATGGTAGGATTCCAAATGGACTTTCTCTGGATTACCATGAAGACACCACCGCTGATTTATTTGAAAGTTGGTCTAAAAACAAACTAGTTCCAAACATTCTTCCTAATAGCGTGATTGTAATGGACAATGCAAGTTATTATAGTGGACAGTTGACTAAAACCCCTTCCTCATGTGACGCAAAAGCAACAATCGAAAAATACATGTATAATAACGACATTTATTTTCACGAAAATTAAAGCAAAAGGAATACGTCTGTGATCATTATGCAAAAAATTTAGGGCATGCAGTTTCAAGGCTTCCTTCCACCTTACCACTGTATATTTAATCCCTTTGAACATGTTTGGCACCAACTGAAATCTGCCATTCGTCGCAACAATGTTTTTTCCCGTGTTAACTCCAATGTCCTCAAACTTATAGAAACCGAAGTTTTTAACATCCCTCCATAGAGTTGGGCAAGTTCTGTTAAACATATAGAAAAAGCGGAACAATCGTATACCCCTATCGCAAATAATATACAACAAACAATAATTAGAACAGGCGATGATGGCGATAGTGATACTGATATATTATGTGAATAATTTTAAGTAAATAATTAAATAAGTACTAATTAAGTAAAGTAAGTAAGTAAATAATTGAATTCTAAGCAAAGTACGGGCCTGTTCGGCCATATTTCATTCTTACAGCTTGTCCGGGTCGTTCCTTAATTCGTATCAGTTGGTCACTTTCTTATATCTCTGAACAGACTTTACCACGGGCGGTGGGCGAACGGCCTCGCCGCGAAATCACGTAGGCCTCGGCAATAACGCGATACCCACTTAGTACAGTACCGATGTTGTATCTCTCCGCATATGCACCAGTCGCTCTTACGCTACGATCGCGCGGGAAAGCCGCCGGCAGATGTTACGATTTTCCTATTTTTCACCGCGTTCCGGTTATTTCTGGACACTGGCCGTTCCGCGTTCGAGTCACGACGAGGTGCATTTTGCGTATTTCCTTTTTCGCGCGGTGATAAAATCCGGTGGTGCTAAAAATAGTGGCGAACGGTAAAACGTGCGGCAAATTTTTAAGGTACGTCGTCGATGTCGCGGAGAAACCCGAAATCGAATGACGGGGTCGCGCGGGCGGGATGATTTTTCTCAATTTAACGCTTTAACTGTTGGCCGTAGAAATCCGGAAATTGCGGCTCCGGAAAAATTACGATTGCGCATAAATTACGCGACATAAAAGGCCCTTATTGAACCTATTCCGCCCGTAAATAAAATTACGGCTTGATTTACATCCGACGCCCGTCGCCAGACGCCGCTCAAGTTCTTTTTTTTTACTTTTTCTCTCGTCCATTCCCCGTCATCCCACTTCTGAACTCTCGCCTCGTCCCAGCGTTTCGATAATCTTACGATTCGTTTTATACGAACGTGCTAACTTTCGTCATGTGGGGTACCTGGCTAATAGGTATCAGGCACCGACCAAAATAGGAACTAATTGTCAGAGTTCCCACACGTTCGTTGCACGGCGATGCTTTTTTCTAGCCTAATTGGACCGACGCCGTACCGGGTGTTCGTATTTATCCGGACCGGGAGAAATTTCTTCAAAACGCGTCTATTCATAGGCTCACTTGGCAATCGCATCGATTTTAAATTAAATTTCTAAAGAGACGCGACAGTTGTGCGCGCGTAATTGCACCGTTGACGATCTCTGCGAGGGTGTCTCGCCGGATGTTGCTTCAAGTCGGCGCAGCGAAACGTCTTAATTACCGAATTGCCAAAAGTCACTTTTCAAACACTGACGGTTGATTTTTTTCCTCGTCGACACGTTTTCTATCCATTGCGACTCACTCAGAGTTTTTCGTAGTCTATGACTGCAGGTCAAGCCGGAGTAAAACTTTCTAATCACCTGTACTTCATTTCCGGTTGGGTTTCTTCGAAAGGAGCAGCTATTCTAGCGATTGCTGTGGTCTAGCTAGCACTTTCATTCTCTTTCAGCTGTCATTTAAAACTAACTCTTTTTAAGAACAAACCTTAAAAACTTTCTCGTGGTACAAACAGCCACCGAAAGTCCAGGACTCTACGCAGTTTTCTGACCATCTCCCAAGGTTTCTCCACTGCACAGTCAGATGCTCACTGTCTGATATATAACCTATGGTAACTGATATTGAGATCATCTCTGGTCATGGAATGGAGTAAAACCTCTACATCATTTAAATTTTGCCTAATGCTCTAGGGCAGTTCACATTTTTAACGGGATTTTGCGCATCGAAGGCCTAGTTTTCTTCCCCATTTCTTCCCCCTGCTTAGACTTTGCCAACACCTTCAGATGCTCACTCACGAACCATAAATGATATTTTCATTTTCCTATTTCGACTCTACGCATTAAAGATTCCAGTTTTCTGGTGATTGCTCAGGTTTCTCCATAGCACCGTCAGATGATCACTATCGGACATGTAACCTTTGATAACTGACATTGGTCATGGTTGATTGACCAACACCTTCTGATGCTCACTAACGAGGTACTTTTGTAGACCTTCTTGAACCCTAAATGATATTAAGATCATTTCCGATCCTAGTCGATTCGCTAGGTTAAAACTTGCTGTCTAATCTTCTGGCCTTTTGCTGCATGGCACAAGCGGAGTTGTAGCTAACCAATTGGCTAAGCCTAGAACCAGGGGCGTGACGAAATCGATCACGATCAAGCCCACGCGCGATAAAAATAATAATGGTCCAGTCTTCTTCAGCATGCATGCTTAGACTTTACCAACATCTTCAGATGCTCACTAACGAGGTACTTTTGTCGATTCGTTGGACCATAACTTTCTATCTAATGTTCTTGCTTTTTGTTCTTAGGCACCAGCGGAGTTGTAGCTAACCCTAGAGCCAGGGGCGTGACGAAATCGATCACGATCAAGCCCACGCTCGATAAAAATAATAATTGTAATTTCGGAGCGGATATTTAAAACTTAATTAACCGCGGCACAATTTACTGTAGGCGCCAGCGACTGGTTTACCGAGCCGAGATAGGCGCATTAACGGTCGCCCACCACAACGAACCCGTTCTTTCTCCGCCGAATACGTCGCGATAGTCGCGCGACCGCGTAGAGCGGCGAAGACCCGAAAAAATGGCGACCATTTGTTTCCGACCGCCCCCGATACCGCCCAACAAAAAACCGACAGCGTTCGCGGCGAAACGCGCCATCAATAATAACCACCCTTCGTTGTCGTCGACGTATCTGAGTTTCCGCGATGCCTTCGACGACGATATCGTCCACGTGGAAAACAACCCCGCTCGGCGACGCTGCAGACGCGTGTCGCACACTAACTCTTTGAACCGCGGCCGCGACGTCAAAGTGCCGTTGAGCAGAAGTCACTCCGACGGCAACATCGACAAGCAAGGCATCGACGAAGACGGTGGTTCGCATCCACTATCGATCAGTCGATACATGAGGGTGTTGAGCGGCAGCTGGAAAAATCTACTCAATCGTAAGTGTAGTTCGGGTACTAAGCTAGACTCCTCCAGAGACTGGCACTCGCTAACCAATGCTTTTTGACACATGCCAATCGCAACTAACCTCTAGAGCCTACGGAGGGCACGTGTTGCCGCTTCAAAGTTCTTTGAATCTTGAGGGTCATCGGTTGCCACCAGCACCGCCGACATAGAGATGATTTACTAACCGATATTAACGCAGATAATAATTAAAATGTAAGGCGAGATGCTTCATGATTCACGATAAGTCGCGAAGTATTTAACCTCAATAGGGAAAGGTCATGCGTCAGTCATGCGACAATTACGTCGTTGTGTACCGAATGATTTGCGGCGCGGTAATTTCTGTTTCTTCTCTATTGAACCCAAAAGGAAAGACTTGACCGCCTGGCATTAACTGGGAGCGTTCGGCATCGCTTCCGTTTTTTGCAGGATAACCTTTATTATTTGTTAAGTAATAAAATAGGACCGCCTTTAGGTCAGCTGAGCTGTTAACCGAGTATGTAACAGGACAATGCAAACTTAATTTATTACAACAATTTTACAGAACTGATTAACAATCTAGGTAAGAGTGATTGGCTAATCTGAGGATATTTATTAAGTAGTCTGACACATGTATACGAGAAACAGCTTTTAGTCATGGACTTCTTAATCTTAGTTATTTCATACTGACAATTGCGACTTCTACACGTACACGACGTATCTGCTGTATGAATAATGAGCGTAGCTTTCGATCTAATGTTGTCAATCAAGACTAGCTGATATCAGTGATCAAGATAATTACGAATCAATTGAATCGTCTTAAATATAAACCCGTAGTATTTTAGTTGACGATTGAGGGTATCAAAGGCTTTGCTATAATCTAATAAGACCGAAGCCGATCTTACCCCTTTACCTGCTGCTGCAAGAATACCAACTTTGACCAAACGAAAACGAAATCGTGACTGTAATTTAGGTAAAAGGTTGTTATTGGTGAAATAATCACAGATCTGCTTATAAATCAGTTTTTCAAATACTTTAGACAGCACTGCTAACACGCCAATAGGTCGAAGATCTGCGACTGTGTTAGGCTTGCTCACTTTTGGTAACGATGTAACCTCTGCTATCTTACACTGTGCAGGAAATATACAGCATTCAATACAAAGATTTAAAAGTTGAGTAAGAATAGGCAGTATGGTTTGGCAGCAAAGTTTTGGCATTTCTCCTTCCGTACCGTGTGCATTGGATCCCAATCCCACCATAGCCCTGACAAACTCCATCCTCGTTTATCGACTCCAGCTCAGATTCGTACTAAGATATTTGGCAAAGGTATCAAAGTCAACAGTATTAGGATCTGACGCACTGAATCAACAAAATATTGATTAACGGGCTCAGGATTCTCCAGAAGTTTAGGAATATTGACGTCCTTCTTTGATCTGTTTTCCAAATCTCTTTTGACTTCTTTGTACTACTAACATGGTCATTTGTACTACTAACATGGTCAATATAAGATTCTTTTATTTATAAGCCTGCCAGTTTCGTACATTTTTATTACGTTTATATTTCGAGAGGAGATGATTCCGAAAGACTTGCCACCAATATGTTGCTGTTTAAGTATACTATACGGGGCGCCGAATCCTCAAATGTGTTTCCTAGACATCCGCAATGCAGCGGAACAACAACGTATTAAATTAACGGTAGACTGGTTGCGGGGGCGGTGCAAACCCTTCCGCTATTTAATCAGTACACCACTGCCTCCCGTAACGACACACGGAGACAATGTTGCGCCCAGGCGGGCACCGTCTCTTTAGCTTTACGTTCTTAAAACGTCCCGGTTTAACGGCCGTTTTCTAATTAACTTCGAGGAAAACGTAGTCGTATTTAATACCATTTCGGATATACGGCGGGCGTGTCTGTCAGAACGACGCTTAAAAATCACCACCCGAGCGTTTAGAACGACACGCGCACACCGAAAGACCTCGAAACCTGCCGACTCAAGTCAATAATCAAGATGGTGTGCAAATTTAAAGCACCTCTATGCGGTAGATGCCTCAGATAGAGAGAGAGAGAGAGAGAGAGAGATCCTTCTTGTGTTGCTGACGACGTATGGTCTGTTCATAAATATAAGAAAGTGACCAATTGCTTTGTGCCCCCAGACCAGGCTAGAGGGCGTCCAGAATGCTGGATCGATCAGGGCCGTTCCGAAGACTTCAAATCTTTCCCATGTCAAAGCAGGTATGGTCTGTTCATAGATATTGCTTTGCTTTTGAATGGGATTATCCAAGGGTGGTCATTAACATACAATGCAACAAGATTATTACCTAAAGTTTCGGAATTTAAATTCAGGTAAAATTATAGTCCGTAATAGAAAATAATTTTATACCTACCTGTGTTTAATATTGTTTGGTTTGATATACTACTTAGTTTAAGTTTATTTGTAATCATTTTCATTTCGTGTGTAATACAGCAATTATGCAAAATATATGCGAGTCTAGTGCATCTCAAGAGATGCTCTCGCCCAAATGTAGAAAACGCTATTCTATTGAGACTAAAGCAGTTATAAACAATATTTATTTGACTCTCATGAAGACACCACCGCTGATTTACTTGAAAGTTGGTTTAAAAGTAAACTAGTTCCAAACATTCCTCCTAATAGCGTCATTGTAATGGACAATGCAAGTTATCACAGTAGACAGTTGACTAAAACCCCTTCCTCATGTGACACAATTTATTTCCATGAAGATTATACCAAAAAGCAATTAATTGAGGTTCTACAAAGCTTGAACCTACAAAAGGAATACTTCTGTGATAATTATGCAAAAAATTTAGGGCATACAGTTTTAAGGCGTCCCACCTTACCACTGTATATTTAATCCCATTGAACATGTTTGGCACCAACTGAAATCTGCCATTTGTCGTAACAATGTTTTTCCTCGTGTTAACTCCAATGTCCTCAAATTTATAGAAACCATTTTTAACATCCCTCCACAAAGTTGGGCAAAAAAGCCGAACAATATAGAACAAATAATAATTAGAACAGGCGATGATAGCAATAGTGATATTGATATATGTGAATAAATACGGACCTGTTCGGCCATATTTTATTTTTACAGCTTGCCCGGGTCTTTCCTTAATTCGTATCAGTTAGTCACTTTCTTATATCTATGAACAGACCTTACCGCAGTAGAAATGAAAGACTACTTTAGAAGAGAGCCATTGGAGAGCAATAGAGAGGCTCCACTTCTCGCACGGAACTTAAAGTGACCCTTTTTGTGTTGTTTACTTTAGATGACAGTATCCTACGCCTTGCAAAGTCCTTATTATCGGATCTCCGCTATTAGCTATCGGCGGATGAAATCGTAATCCCTCACCCTTTTTCCGACTAAACTCGCCCGCTCCGGATTTATGAGGATGTTTCGGTACCCCCGCTTCCTTATCGTCGAAAAATTATCCGCCGCAGCGAGATAAATCGACGGTGGCGAGATAGCGGGGTTTATATATCGGGCCGCGCATTAATTAACCAAGTTTTAATAAGTTGCGCGAACTCTTTGCCGATTTTAAAGCGAGATATTTTAGGCGGGGAGCGGCTGCGGGAGGTGGGACGTACATAAACAAAACTGCAATATTAATATTCTTAATGGCGAGAAAAAAAAAAAAACAACAGAGCCTGAGCGGAATTTTTTGTTTTTGTTCCGTATTTCCTTTCAGACACCTAAAGCTTCTATTGTAGATTTTACCTTAACCCGCGATGTATAACTAATGAACCCAGCTATGACAGGATTTGGTCGTACGAAACATTCTCTTCATTTAAACCGTAGAAGTTACGTGTATAGAGAGTGTATAACCTTTTGCAAATCGGTAGATCCAAATTGTTGTCTTCATCTTCTGTTCAGTCAAGTGCAGTCAAAAATACTTGAAGGTCATCCATTCCTCAGATTGCTGATAATTTGATGCAGTCACAAAGCCTTCTCGCGCAATGAGACATCAATTGCGTTGTCACCGTAAGTTCAAACCTTCTTAGAATCGGCTCAAAGTCCACGGTTGATCCTTTTCGCTCTCTTGCTTGCGTCTCTCTCCTAAAGGCCAAATCCATTCAGACCTTCCGCTCAGGTATGCCCGCACCTTTTCACTACCTCCTCTAGAAGAGCCTCGCTATTCTCTAGAGAAAGTACAACAGTGGCTGGGGCTATCTCACTCCTTTTAAAGTCTCCCCATGCATACTTCGCATACTGTGTGGCTCCGGTACCTTCGCAGAGGTAAGAGCTTGGAGAGCTGTTCGATTCTCGTTGAGAATCTCGTTGCTTGTCCCTCTGTTGAGTTTCTCCTGAGCACACAGCAATACCGCATAAAGTTTGTTCATAGATATAAGAAAGTGATACGAATTTAGGAAAGACCCGGGGCAAGCTGTAAGAATGAAATATGGCCGAACAGGTCCGTACTTTGCTTAGAATTTAATTATTTGGGGTTTTGTTAGGAAAGATACTAAACAATATTTATTTATTTATGTATGTATTTATTACAAATTATTTTTATTACCTACTTAAATTACTTAAAATTATTCACATAATATATTAGTATCACTATCGTTGTCGAAACAATTGTCATGTCAAAATATATAATTTCGTGAAAATCTGAACTTTTAGTTCTTATTTATTTTGATAAATGGATTTTCATCAAGTAAAAGCTTCCTCAGTTCAATCGCTATCATCGCCTGTTCTAATAATTTGTTCTATATTATTTGCAATATGGATATACGATTGTTCTGCTTTTTCTATATGTTCAACAGAATTTGTCCAACTTTGTGGAGGGATATTAAAAACTTCGGTTTATATAAGTTTGAGGAAATTGGAGTTAACAGGGGGAAAAACATTGTTACGACGAATGGGATTAAATGTACAGTGGTAAGGTGCCTTAAAACTGTATGCCCTAGATTTTTTGCATAATTATGACAGACGTATTCCTTTTGTAGGTTCAAGCTTTGTAGAACCTCAATTAATTGCTTTTTGGTATAATCTTCGTG